CGGAGAAGATGATGAATAGTGAAGAGGGGGGGTGTTTAGTTAGGGGGCCGGGGTAGGGATTTGAACTTATATAGGGACGAGGTGGATTGATGCTGACCGTTAGATCAGGCAGAATGAATGGCCAGGATCTATTCACTTAACAAAATGATGTCGTTTGGTTTAAGTTGGGGGGACGGGTTAAACCGGGTACTGGATCGGGTAAGGATCACAGGTTAGGTTTGTAGGATCTCAGCCGTTGGATGGAATTAATCCAACGACCCTTGATGAAGGACGACCAAACGTTGTCGTTTTGGTTTGTTTGAATTGGACCGGACATGGGAGTTTTGGGATTGGGCTGTGGAGGGTTAAAAATTTTTGTTTGGGCCTGGATTTCAGTCCAGGCCCGATTTTTTAATGTTCAAAATCCATTTCAATTTCCTAATTTAAATTTTCCAATTTAATTATTAAAATCCTAATTAAAATTATAAAAACAAGAATTAACTTTACAAGACATTTAATCAACCTTTAACAATTATTAACACATAGACAAAATATTAATCACATAGTGAAACATGAATATTTTTTGTGATTTTATTTTAATTAACTCAATTATTAAATGCATAATTAAATCCTAGATATGCATGAAACATGTATTTTTATTTTTATTTTGTTTAATTATAACAAAGCAAACATTTACAGACAAAACACAAACAATTAATAAGCGCAACACAATTTCTAAAATTGCACACTAAAAGAAATTAATTTTATTTTTGATTTATTTTGGAATAGTTTTCGTGAGGCAAAAATCACGTGCTCACAATTACTGAGAAGAAATATCTATTATTATCATCTCCCAGCTTGATCCAAGTAGCTTTTCTCCTTTGTTGAAGGTATACCTCTGCCAAGTAGGATGATCTCTTGAATTTTTTGAACTTCTGATTTTCTACTAACTGTAGCTCAACATCCACTGGATTTTTATGAAGTTCTGCTTGGGCTGCAGCCAAAGCCATTTTGTCTGCATCAGCTTCTTCAATAATATTGCTGAAATAACTCCTATTCAACATCCTCAATTCCTTCTTCATCATTTTCAGCTTTTTAACCACTTTGAATATACTACATCCCTCAACTTTCTGCTTCCATCCCTCATTGACTATATCTTTAAAGTTTGGATGAGAGGCCCAAACATTACAGAATTTGGAAGCAGCTTTTGCCCTCCTTGGTGAGTTAGCATTTGATAGCTTTAGTGGGCAATGGTCACTTATTCCTTCCTCAAGATAGCAAGCCATATATGCTGGGATTAAATTGAGCCAAGTTGTATTAATGAATACCCAGTCTATTTTTGATAGGATCTTGTTGTTTCCATGTCTATCATTCCATGTATACCTGCTCCCACTGGTTGGCAGTTCAAGCAACTCACATTTCTCTATGCACTGTTGAAATTCTACTATTTCAGCCAAGCTTACAGGATTTCCTCCCACTCTATCATCAGCATGCAGCACTGAATTAAAGTTTCCCATAACTATCTATGGACCCCCCCACACTTTTACTCACGGTGTCTAGGTAGTTCCACAAGCTTCTTCTTCNAGCTTCTTCTTTCGTCCTTTGTGTTGAATGCATAGACTATAGTCATCATAAAGCCAATCTGCAATCTATTATGACTCACCATACATGTTACTGCTTGATCAGTCATAGTGCTCAGAGTAACTTTAAAACATTCCTGTCTCCATGCCAACCAAATTCTACCATTATAGTGTTCCCTCAAGTTTGTTATACTCCCCCATCCTCCAAATAGCTTATTAGCCACTTGGTTGAATTTCTCTAACTTTATTTTAGTTTCTACCATACTTATCAACCCTATCTCTTCTTTATTACAAAGGAGTTTTACCTCCTTTTGCTTGTTAGGGGCATTCATACCCCTAACTGTCACGACCCAAACCGAAGGGCCGCGACGGGCACCCGGTGCCTTACTCAACCGAGTACCAACGTAACATATCCTTCTTAACATTTTATCATGAGTAAATGAGCCAGAAAATCCGTCATGAGATAACAAGAATAAAACATAAGGGAATACTCAACATATGAAGACCCAACATGATATACAAACTAATATATGTGACGGGCCTATAAGGCCGACATGACCATTAGTAAACTCGAAACATAGGCCGACAAGGCCATA